TGTGGATATCTTCTTCAAAATTTTTATAAATTTGATAAATCTGTGTCATTCTGAATTATACAAGTTCACATAAGCAGTTCTGTTCCTGGGTAACTGAACAAGTCATTCATTCAAGCCCAAGCAAACAGTCCCACATTGGTTTCATAGTTCTGTGTGTTTGAAGTTTCAGTATTAGAAGTGATTTTACCTGCGTGGCCAGATACAGAAGAGGGTCTAGTGAAAAGTAGAGAAGATAATAGAGATTGTAGTATTGGTTTTGTCACCACTTATTTTATGACACAGCCAGGTCACTGATTCTTTGTGTGCCTGGATTTTCACATGCACACTTCGGGAGGGTGACCATGGCTACTGTTAAGCCTTTGGAAGATGAAGGAGAACAGAATAAGTGGGTCAGCCAAGCCACCATTTCCAATACAAGGGGAGCAATTAATAATCCTTCAATCGCTACACATGGTGAGAGCTACTCACTGTTATTCTCCAGGTGGGTTTTGTAGATGTCGTCAGGCACCTTTGGCTCCATGATGTCCAGCTGAAGAGAAGCCAGAGGGTCACCAATACACCCCTAAGACTCCCCTAGCAGACCCTGTTATCTCACTGCATAGCAATTCTCACTAGGGAGAGACTAGTTGGAGGTAGTCAGGTAAAATGGCAGATAAAATTACAGTCAAAAAGTTTTGATGGAAAAAGGCAAAGATTCTCACCTCCCGAGCCAAGGCCAAGAAGTTGCTGTTGAGCTGTACGTTGGACATGATCTCTGTCAGGTCCTCATACTCCTCTACGTCTTCACTCAGCTCAAGGAACACCCCATGCCGGCCTAGCATGAATGCCATCTGCTTCTGCACCACCCTGCAGGAGAAAGCCATCACACCTGTTCATCATCCACTGAAGGCAAAGGAGCCCCTTAGGCCTCACCGGAAGACCCAGCTCTTTGTGCAAATGCTCCATGCATGGCTGATCTCTTCCTCTGCCACGTTCCTCCCCACATACACATCCTTGCATGAAGTGAAGATGTCTTCCACCAGCTCCATGTCATTGAGCATCAATGCCAATCTCAGAGCTTCAGGGAAACGGCTAAACTTTCGGAATACACCCAAGGCACAACGCAGCAGGGCAGAATTCTCAGGCTCCGGTACGTAATTCACACAACTACAAAGGTAAAATAAAGAATTTGCAAAGAATCATATATTTGTTTACCCCATTTAATTCACTTACCCAAAATAAATACTGAATGCCTACTATATTCTAGGCACTACTCTAGATGCTGGGACTATTAAGGCATCTGTCCTAAAGACTCTGTCCTCTTGAAATTAATGGATGTCAACAAATTTTGCTGTTGATGGGGGGGGGTACCAGGGATCGAACTCTGGTCCTTGCACTTGCAAGACAGGCAGCAGAACCACTAAGCTAAATCCCCGGTGGATGTCAACAAATTAACGACAGCCTGATACGACCCTTGAAACAGATGCTCTGGGAGAACAGAAGAGGCGAACTGGAGAAAGAAATGCAGGGAGAGACGCCAATCTCTACCATGCTCACTCACCTGGTAAGATACAGGCAGACCTTGGCATACGCGTTCTCATCAATGTCCTTCTCCAGCATATCCACCTGCTCGATTTCCATGAGCAGGTCGCATGCCTCATGCTCTGCATTGTGGGCCATGTTGTAGGGGACAATCTCCTTCACAAGGGTAAGCAATGGCTCCCGTTGTACTTTTTCTGCATCATCCAGCTCCTGCCACTCCTTGGCCACTTCTCCTGCCAGATGCCTACAGACAAAGACTGTTAAGGGCACAGTTGTAGGGAAAGCAGTTCCCTGTGGGCCAAGGAACTCGGTGTCTCAGATATTTAGTACATCAATATTCTCATACAGAGAGGACTGGAAAGCTAAATTCAGAACTATACCTCAGAGTCCCCTCCAGAGTGTCAAGAAGAAAAGCTCTTACCTGACATACTCATGACCCCATGACGCCAACTCTTCCTGGGAGCCCACTAACCGGTACTGGAGGCATTCACGTTCCCCACTCATGGTCATAGCCAAAACAGAGATGATGTCCGCAGCAAACCGCTGTAAAGAAACCCGTTCTTGGGAGTCAAACCCAACAGTCCAGGTAAGGGGAGAATGATGAAACTGAGATTACTATCACTGTCTCCCAAACCAGTAACTATATACCAGTCTCTGCACAAAACTGTTACCTGCAAGCCTCTCAATAATCCTAGAGTTGATCATCATCTTGTAAACCAATACAGACGAAATAGGATAAACAACTGAGGAAACCAACAAAGGAGGAGCCTCTGCATGTTACTTATTCTTGAGGTATTGGTAATTCACCACTGAGCTATACCCCTACACTTTTTTGAGAGATTGACCTGAAACTCACTATGCAGTCCAGGCTGGTCACAAACTCACAGCGATCCTTCTGCCTCAGCCACCCGAGTGCTGGCATTATAGGCGTGCACCAACACATCCGGCCCCCTACTCCTTTTTTTTTTGGAGGCAGTATCTCATTAAACTGCCAGTCTAGATGAGCTTCTGGGTTTGAACTTTCGATCCTCCTGCTTCAGCCTCTCAGAGTGCTGGGATGACAGGCATGTTCCACGACACCTAACCCAATTTATTCTTTTAAAAGATGGGATTTCACTATAATGATCAGATTGGCCTCATATTCCTGTACTCAAGGGAAACTCTTACCTCAGCCTCCTGAGTAGCTAGGACTATAGGTGCACCACCTTCCACAGTTTGAATTTTAATTGCTGTAAGTGATTAGGTTTTAAGCAAAAAAAGAACCATAACCTAGAAAGATCACTATTGCCACTTATATAAAAGATAGACTATGTAAGAAGTAAAAAATGAAAGCACTGTTGATTAGAGGGCTGGTCATTAATTTCAGTGAGAACTAAAGATTTCTGGAGGCAGATCCAAGAGGCAGAGAAGTAATTGAACTGGGGATATATTTTATTTACTTATTTATTTATTTACGTACCACGAATCAAACTCAGGACCTTGCAAGGCAAACAGCGGCACCACTGAGCCAAATCCCTGGCTCCTGGGGATATATTTTAGAAATTAAAAAAAAAACAAAAACTGCAAGTACATAAGACAGAAAAAAGAGAAAAACCAGGCCAGGGATTTAGCTCAGTGGTTCTACCACCTGTATGAAAGCATAAGGACCCAAGTTCTATCCCCAGTACAAAAAAAAAAAGAGAGGGAGAGAGAAAAACCAAGACAACACATAAATTGGAAATAGATCACACTGAGGATATCCCAAGGTCCAACACAAATGACAGAAATATCTTCTGAGGTGTTGATTCTCCTTTCACCACTTTTGTCATTTTTTTTCATTGTAATGAATTCTGTTTGACCAGTTATTGGGTCTCTTGAACCCCAGGTCTAAATGAAAAGGAATTCCTCAACTAGGTCCTCTATCAGCTTCTGAAACAGCTTTACCTTATTCTCGCCAGGAGCCATGTTCTCATAGATTTCCTTCAGTTTGCCATAGTGTGGACGCAGAAATTTCAGAGGCTTTGGCACTGAAGTCATAGAAGTTGTAGAAGAACGGATCTGCCTGCGCAGTTCCTCCAGGGCTGGCCGGTACAGGGATGTGTCCTTCTCCTGAACAGGAGATGACAGGCTCAGACAAAAGGAGTCACATTCCTCCAAATCGCAACGCAGAGACACTGAAACAGTATTTCCACTAGGGACATAACTATGTCTTCCTCATCTGTCACTGCCCAACACCCTGCACATCACCTGACACAAAAACAAGTAGCCCACTTCAAATATCCTTTGTAACTCTCTTCCTTCACATCTTCATCACAACACTGATCCTAAAACGTAGTCCATCTCAAACAGGAGATGTTGCCTCAGAACAGAATAAAGCAGAAAGTGGGAAAGATCCGAATATACCGGTGCGTATTAACATAAGACTCACCCCCAGTCGTTCCACGAGCATCTCCAGTTCGTCTTGAAGTTGTTTATCCTCCTCAGACTGGAGGGTTGGGGGAAGAAGCTCGTCAAGAGAAGGACCCCACTCATATCCGCCTCCCATTCACACTGGGGCAGGTGGAGGGCGCCAGCCTCCTAGGAGGGGCCAGTTGGACAAGAAGAGGGGGCGGGAATGGGAAGCCCGGTGGGGAAGGCAGTTTCTGAGCGAGGCTTCGCTAGAATGTCATTCTTGGAAAAGAGGATGACTACGACTCCGATCCCATCTCAAAGGCGGTGGTGGTATCGCGGAATGGGAGGGGGGGGCCAGAGAGGCAGGACGCTAAGGGGAGGCAGAGTGCTAGGAGCCCGGGGGTCTCCCCATCCGCCCTCTGCCGCCGTTGCCAGCAGGGCCCGAGGCCTGCGAGACCGCGGTGACTCAGCCCCGCGGCCTCCTCTGCCGGCTCCCGGGTCCGCGCCTCACCAGCTCCTGCTCTTTGTCCTTGTCTCCCGCATCCCTCCGCTCCTTGCCGCTCGACTTGTCGTCCGTACCGCCAGGGGATGTCCCTGGGGTCTGCTGAGGCTGCACGGATGCCTTGTCCCGGCCACCCTCCTCCATCTCCGCCACCACTGCTGGACCGCTGCGCGCGCACCTGCTAGCACCGCCCCTCCTCCCAGAGGGCCTCGCGCGAGCTGTCGGAGGCGTCCCGCCTCCTCGATACCCCGCCCACAACCGGAAACATTGGGAGTTCGGCTCTTCGACCCCGCCCCCGGATGCCCGCTGGGAACTATGATTCCCAGCCTCCCGCGCGCCACAGGCTCCTCCCCGCCTCACGTCACCTGGACGTGCGGCGTGGGGATTGGCCCGCTGCAGGTGAAGGGGGAGCTGCCGGTGAACAGGATACCCGAAGATAGGTTTCCTACCAATGTTAATAGAACCGATCTTGGCACCTCAGCGGGTTGAGTGTGGTGTGACGGACAGGACTGGCTTGTTTTTTTCTGTAGACATGGTCTCGCTGGCCTTGAACTATGTAGCCCAGGCTGGCCTCGTACTCGCGGTGATCCTCCTGCCTCATCCTCCCAGTGCTGGGATTACAGGAGTGCGTCTCCTCTCTCGGCTGACAAATAAAATTATTGAAATCCAGAACTCCTGAATGAAGACTGTGGGAAGCCTGTGTTATCTGTTATCTGATATCACCGTAAGGGTGTTGCTATTACCTTAATTCCTTTTAGGAGCCTGGTGGCGTAGAAGTCGCTAAAGTAAGTGCTGTGTCCAGGGCCAAATTCTGGAGCTAAAGACAGACTATGGCAACTTCAGTCTTGCCCTTGCTCTTTGGGGTTTTTTCCCGTTATGATGTAGAAGAGGTGGAACTAAAAGGCTTTATGTCAGGACTACATGAAGGGGGTGTGAGTCCAGGTCCTATCCGGTCACGTGCCCTAGATTCAAGAGTTGACCCGCAGATTTTCAGCCTTCCATGGCCTTTCCGTGGCCTTAACTCCCAAGGTTTCTTCTTTTTTGGGCTGTGGGTGGATAGGTGTGGGTGTGTGTCTAGAAGGTGAGAAAAAAAGAAAATAATTCTCTTTCCCTTTTCCTAGTAGGAACACTCACCATTTTGACTGCAGTCTTGTTTTATGCATTCTAACCCACTAAAGAATGCAAAAAGTGCCGGGTGTGGTGGCGCATGCCTGTAATCCCAGCACTCAAGAGGCTGAGGCAGGAGGATCGCTGTGAGTTCAAAACCAGCCAGGGTCTCAACTACATAGTGAGACCCTGTCTCAAAAAACAAAACAAAAAACAACAACAACAAAAAAAAAACAAGAATGCAGAAGGTATATTTTTTTCTTTTTAATCTAGATGGAATACTTAGCACTGAATGTTGGCTAAATGTTTAATGGATGTAGATGTAGAGTTTGAAGCCCATTTTGAAAAACCTGCTCTTTTCCACTCAAGCTAGGACTCTAGCCATAACCCTGCATTTCCCTTGGCAACAACTCTCCCAGCCTGGCTCTGGGGACGGAAGTTGGACAGTTCATAGGTGTTGTGCTTATTCTGTGTCTATCTTCAGGATGTCCATACTTCTTCACACTTTCTCTAGCCATCTATAGAGAGATTTCTCTCCATTTTTCCCTGGCTCCCTTCTATCCAATCTGAGATTTTGTGGTACACACCAGTCACTAGCACCTGGAGGCCGGGCGTGGTGGTGCACACTCGGAATCCCAGCACTGGGGGTGGGGGGGCTGAGGCAGGAAGATCACTGAGAGTTGGAGACCAGCCTGAACTACAAAGTGAGACTCTGTCTCAAAAATAAAACAACAAACAAAAACAGCGCTTGGAGATGAGATGGACACTGTGGCATAAAGCACAGCCCGTTAACTAGCTGGTGACTCCAGAGGGAAAAAGAGTTGTCATCCTGTTTTTCAACTTTGTGGTTGGTTTTAAATTTTCCAAACTAAAAAGTTGCAAGAGTAGGAGAGTGCAAACTTTAAAGATAGACAGATTTAGGGCCAGGATTTAGCTCAGTGGTTCTGCCACCTGCCTCGCAAGCACAAAGTCCCAAGTTTGATCCCTGGTACCAAAAAAAAAAGAAAAGTAAAAACAGATTTAGTGTTTAAAGCCAACTGTAACACCTAGGTAAGCTACCTAATCTCTTTCAACCTGGCTTCTGCCAATGTAAAATGTGAGCGATAAACTGTATCTTTGCTAAGTTACTTTGAAAACAAAATGAGACAATGTACAGAAAGTGTAGACAATATATAGACAGTGTAGACAATGTATAGAGAGTGCCTCTCTAGGTGCCCTGCAATTAAAAAGGAGGCAGTTCATTTTACTTTCCAAATACTTTGAATTTACCAGGCTGAGTAAAACACATAGCCCATACCCGGAATTCTTTCCACCTCCAAGCACTCAAGATTCCAAGCTTCTCATCAAATGCAAGTGTTGAGCCTGGCAGTGCATGGCTGGGCACACCGCTGGAATCCCAGCGCTCGGAGGCTGAGGCAGGAGGATCACCCTGAGTGGGAGGCCAGCCTGAGCTACAGCGTGAGTTCAAGGCTACATAGTGAATGGCATAGCAAGACCCTGCTCAAAAAAAGAAAAAGGGAAAGAGAAGCAAACGTCTGGCAGTTATTTTCAAGGACCCTTGGATAATACCATGTCCTGCTTCCGTCTTCACTTCCGTTAGACTACCGTGCCAGGAATACTCCTTCCTACAATTTGGCCGACTCCCAATTTTGTGGTCAAACCGTTCTCCGATTGAGTACCAACACAGGACTTGCCCTCTCCTAGGTCTTCCTTCAAACTGCGCCATCAGCCTGCCATGCTGCTCCCAAACACGGCCTGCAAGGTAGACCTGTGTGTCTTACCGATGCCGCCACTCATCTGAGAACCATCAGCCCAAAGCCACCGCTTTCGTGACACCACGTCCACTGGCTGGACACACGACTGCACGGCTCCACTGGCTTGCTGCTTTGTTTGTACAGCATTCTCCAAACAAGCAGATTGCTGTGTGTCACCCATTATGATTCCCTCCTTTTACACCTGCTGTTACCACCACCCTCCTCCAGACTCTCTGCCCCCGTAGTATCCCCTTCATTTACCCTCTTCTGATCTTCCTAAACACTCTGCATTTCTAAGCATGACCCACCCCTTCAAGACTTTTCATAGTGCTATTCCTTTGGAATGGAACGCCCTTTACTATTTTCAGCTAGTAAATTCTCCCATCCTCTGGGACACTTATACTGCTGTACCTTTCAGGCTGTTTCTTCCCTGTGTAGGATACCTCTCCTGCTTTACATTCTGAGCTCCTGGAGACAAGGAAGTATATCTTACTTTTGTGCCTGTAGCACCCAGCCTAATGCCTGGCTTGTGGGAGGCCTTCATAAAGACTTACTATGTGTGCTGCGTATTTGGCTCAGTGGTGTTGCCACCTGCCTTGCAAGTGCAATGGTCTGAGTTTGATCCCTGGCACGTGCGCGTGCGCGCACACACACACACACACACACACGCACACAAAAGACTTACTATGTGAATGAACAAATAGCTTTGTATTCCTCTTCAGTCATCTATTTGCTCAATATTGGCCCTTTGGGGCTTTCTCTGGAGCCCAGAGATGGGAGTTGGAAAACTGTCAGGATTCCCCATATGTGATCGATAATAGGCCCATTGCAACTTTGTTTTCTGAGGGACTCTTCCAGCCTGACATCTCTAAAGTGCTCCCAAGGGTAAAATCCTATTTCTTGGCACGTTACCTTCTTGAGGACAGGAATTAGACTTCCCAGCGGGACGGCACGGGGGATGGCCCAGCACGTTAGCAGTGATTGCTGCTGTGTGTCTATCCAGAAGCACAGTCCTTTCTTTCCCCTGCTTCTTCCACACAACACAGCACAGATGCACAGCACAGCCCGATAGGGCTACGAGGACACAGGTCACGCCGGTCACCGGATGCTCACCTCTCCTGGCCTCTGGAACCAAGCACACGCTGAGTACTTGGCAAACAGATGCCGCCTGGCTTCGCTTCAGGCCAGTGTTGTCTAGGCTTCCTGCAGCTGCCTGGCTGTCGCCAGTGCCTGGCCCAGAGGAGCACGGAAATGCACTCACTGCTGCGACGGCCCCACTCAGAAACATGGTGAACCTGCCCAGAAAACACGTCTGTGCTACAGTCTCTTCCGTCATCATGACGTTGAGGGTGGACCAGTAGTGATTAAGAGGGTCTGAGTTCCACACCTGACTTTAATGCAGTCTTCCAGGTGAGCTCGTGAAGATAAAAAATGAAACAGGAGAACAGTCACCGAAGGGCAGAACCGTCTCATTCACCTTTGTATACCCAGTGCCTGACACGTTGTTGGTGCCCAACGTCTATTCTAAAAAGTCGATCTATGAATGTGTGAGTTAATAAACGGGTGAATGAGCGAGGAAATGAGCCACCTAGCACAGTGCCTGGAACGCGAGGTCCCGGGAAGATGCTGCTGCCTTCCCCTCCGTGTTTACTGACTGCGTGCGGCCCCTGGAAGGCCTCGACGGTGGGTGGGATGCCTGGCTCCCGGGAGCTCTGAGCCTTTGAGGTCACGAGGAACCGCCTGCCTGCTCAGCCGCCAGTCAGGGCCGGGCCTCCAGCTCTCGGGGCTCCCCCATCTTCCTAGCTGCCCTGACCCGGGCGCCGCCCAGACTCCTTCCTCTTCCGCATCGCCCCTCTTTCTCTGTCTTCTCAGGGCTTCGAACCTCAGGCCCCTGTCTCTGGTGAGTGAGTAGATGAGGGTCCAGAAGAATGCCGGGCGCAGTGGTTACTCAGTAAATATGAGTGGACGAGGAAAACGAACAACAGAGACAGAACTGAAGGACGAGGCAGGCTGACTGACGCGGGTCTATTTATTGGCATACGGTCCCACAAGGCCAACACCACACACTCCCCACCCTCTTCCCTGTAAAAATAAACTCTGTCCTTCCCTCTCCCTGCTCTGTCTGCTTGGTCTAGGGAGAATCATTCACCCCTGAGACTGATGCCCTGAAAGAGGAACCAACATCCCTACACACACCCGCTTCCGCTCTCAGCCCAGGGGCCAGCAGGGAAGCTCTGGCGTCCACTGACAGCCACACAGGGGTCTGTCCGTGAGGGTCAGCAGCAGTGCATGGTGGCAGCAAAAGGTGCACGGGGCTGATGGGAGCCGAGCCTGCGCCTACGTGGGCACTGGGCGAGTCAGAGGGGCCAGGGAGGCCGGAATCAGCCCCGCACGCTCAGAGCAGGGTGGGCATGGTGGGCCCCAAGGCCCCAAGCTCACTGAGTTGGGGCCAAAAGAGGCAGACTCCTTCCTGTGGGACTGGCCCCCGCTCAGACCTCCCCCAGGCTGGCTGACACAGAGGGATGTCACAGTGAACGGTGGGGGCTCTGCTGGAGGCAGGGGCACCCCCAAAGCAGAGGCACAATGTGGCGGGGGGTGGGAGGGACCGGACCCAGCCCAGCTCACGTTTGCTTCCTCCTAACCCAGGCCCCCCAGGCCCTGGCGACAGCCGGCCATCCCCCTGCACCCCTGCAGTCTACCACACCTCACACAGCTGCCCGGAGTTCATGGGGGAGCCGACAGGGCAGCCGAAGTGGCGCAGGAAGTCGCGGGAGTTGGAGAGAGTGCCCAGCACGCGGAAGCGGGCAGGGCTGTGGGGGTCGGTCACCAGCCCCTCGTGCGAGCTCTCTGGTGTGCGGACTGAGCACCACACCTGCGGGCCAGGACAGACGGGGGACACAGGGTGTGGAGCGTGGAGCTAGAGAAGAGCCACATCGGGGCACAAAGCACCCTGGCCCGAGTCCTCTGCTCAGGGGGCCCGAGGGATGCTCTGGGGGGCATGGCCCCATCTCAGCTCTAAGGGAGAGGCGCCGACTCTGTGAATGTGGGCAGCGGAGCAGCACAGCCCCTCCTGGCTGCTCACTGTAGGCAGAGCACTAGGGGGACCTCCTGCCTGAGTCCCTGCCGGCCACTGACTTCATTCCTGGCCATCCTGAACGGTGTCCTCAAGCTTCAGTCCCCTCCTCCATCCCTACCCCACAGCGACAGGCAGAGGACGGAGGCCTGCTCCTACCTCTTCCCCCTCAAGCAGGCCAGCCCTGCCCTTTGAGATCCGAAAAACCCTACTGAAGACCTCTTCCTCCTCAGTCCGCTTCTGTGGGCTCTGGTCCTTCCCCACCCATCTCCCATACCCCAACTTCAGCCCTTCTCTTGAATGCCTCCAGCTCCTACTGACGACTTCCCGGAGGGAGTGGAAATACCTGGGCGAATCCCACGAAGAAGAGCTGGTGGTTGGTGAGCCCCACAGCTGGCAGCTGCTGCTCCTCCCCGTGCTTCCTCAGCCACGCTTTGTACGCCTGGGGGAAGAGGCGGGGACAAGTGCCCAGAGCCCGCCTTCCTCCCCAGCCCTTCACCCCAGCTGCCCTGCCGAGACACTCACGTTGTAGGCAGCCTTCAGCCCCCCATTATCTGCAATGTTCTCCCCCAGGGTCTGGCGGCCGTTGAGCCTCTCCCCGTTGACCTGGTACTGGCTGTACTGCTCCTCCATGCAGGCCGTGTGGTTCCGGAAGGCTGCCAGCGACTCATTCTGCCACCAGGGCCTTAAGTTCCCTTCCTTGTCATACTCGCGCCCTGAGGAGAACTCACCTTGGTGGCCCACCAGACGACAGCTCAGCCACGGGGAGGGGCAGGAGTGGCCCCACCAGTGGTCCACAGACGCCAGAGCCTCACGGGTCCACCCCCAACATCCCACTCCTTTGCGGGAGACACTGGGAACTCAACTCACTGGTCAGGACATTTGCGTGGGCCCCTACCTTGGTCGTCAAAGGCATGTGTCAACTCGTGGCCCATGACCACACCAATGCCACCAAAGTTTAGGGCCCTAGCAAGGGAGGAATGCTGAGTGAAGATACAGTGGGGTGGGCTTCAGATCCCCGCTCTGGCTCTGCTCCCGGCTCACCCACTGGCCCAGGCACAGGCACAGGCACCCAGCCCCGCCTGCCTCAGACACACTTGGGATGGTTGCAGGAATAGAAGGGGGCCTGCAGGATGCCGGCAGGGAAAACAATTTCATTCTTGGTTGGAAGGTAGTAGGCGTTCACCGTCTGGGGCGTCATGCTCCACCTGAGGGAGGAAGTGGGACAGACCAAAGCTCCGGACTCTCCTGGTGCCCGACTTCCTGCGAGGGCCCTGGGCTCCCCACCCCTGAGGCCTCTACCTAACTCCCCCCGGCCTCCCACTCTTACTGGTCTCGGCTGGGAGGCTTGCGGAGTTGGTCAGCCATCACCTTAGCGGAGAAGTTGTACAGATTCAACATGTTCTGGAAGAAAGACTCTTCGGAGACTTCATACTGTGGAGAGGTTGGGAAATAAAAAGAAAAGGAGAATATGCCAGAGAAGATAACAGAGCCAGCTTGCTACTCATTAGTACTTTGAGTCTTAGCTTCCCCAACTGTAAAATGGGGACACTACAGTAGATAATTGCCAATATTTAAAAAGCACTGGGCCAGGGACCTAGCTCAGTGCTTCCACCACCTGCCTCACAATCATAAGGTCCCGAGTTCGATCCCCAGTAAAAAAAATTTTTTTTAAATAAACAAATAAATAAAAAGTACTTATGTTACAGGTACTACATATTTTTTAAAGCATGCTGCCTTCTGTTCTCACAATGATCCTGTGAAGTAGGCAGTGGGAGGAGGGTCACGGTTTGTGAAGGTATTGATATTATGGGTGGCTTCTTTTTCTAATTAATTTTGCAGACAGAGAAACCGAGGTCCGGAGAGATCTTCTCCAAGGTGACACAGTTAGTTAGGGCTAGGAACACGACTCAGTGCAAACCTGGCTCAGAGCCCTGCTCGCTCATTAACGCTGTATTTTACTGCCATCCGCCCGCAGCCCGGCGCACAGCCAGCATCCGCCTCCGGGAGGAACCAACAAACATCTCCGGTCCTCCCAGTGCTGAGTCCAGAGCACTGAGGCCACGGGACAGCCCCCGCCATGGGTCTGAAGGTCAGTACTCACCCCGTCATAAACATCATCCAGCTCCTTGGGCTCCAGGATGAAGTCTGGGAAGCCAATCATGTCGTAGATGGCATCTGCCTGCAGAGACCGGGTGAAGGGTTCCCTTCCCAGCTCCCAGCGAAACGCAGTTCCCCATCCCCACCTCGAGATGGCGCTCCAACCACAGCCACCGCTTACTTTCTCCTTGGCTGCCTGCCGGGTCTTCTCATCCATCCAAACCAGCTGGTCCAGGGCCTCTTCAAAAGCAGAGCGGATTTCGCTGATCATCCCCTCCGCCTGGGAGAGAGAGGCTGAGTCAGCCTCCTCCTGCACTGTCCTCCGTCCCCGCTCCCCCATGCACCTCAGAACGCCCTGAGAAGGCAAGCGAAGCACAGCAGCACACCCTGTAATCTCAGCACTCCGGGAGGCCGAGGATTGTGAGCTCAACCTGAGCAATTTAGCAACTTCGAAAAATAAAATTTAAAAGGATTTAGCTCAGTGGTAATGCGCCTGCCTTGCAAGCACAAGGTCCTGAGTTCAATCCCACGTACCACCAAAAAAAACATAGGGCTGAGGGTCAGAAGTGTAGTTCAGCGGCTCAGCGCCTTCCTGGCAAGCACAAGGCCCTGAGATCGAGTCCCCGTACCAAAAAACAGTGGGGCAGAGGATGTAATTTAGTGCAACGACCCTGGGTTCAACAGTTCCCAGTACTGCAAGGCGGGGGGAGATGGAAGGGGGAGGGGAAATAATACACTGTGAAGGGTATTGATATCATGGGTGGCTTTTTTTCTAATTACTAAAAATTTGGGGCCAGGGATTTAGCTCTGGTTCTGTCGCCTGCCTTGCAAGCGCAAGGGCCAGAGTTCAATCCCTGGTACCAAAACAATACAAAACAAAAATTTTAATTGGCAATAATATAATTTAATACAATACAATGATTTTTATTTGACTATGAAAGATAAAGCACTAAGAGAAAATTTGGAAAATTGAGAAGCGTTGAAGAAGAAAATAGACAACTTATAATCCAATCACTGAGCTAACGTTTTTAAGGGAAAGAGGGTCTTGCTATGAAGTCCAAGTGACCTGGGATTCACCATCTTCCCACCTCCACCCTCCCAAGTTCCTGGATTACAGGCATGTACCACCAGGCCCAGCTTCTTTTAACATTTTAATTATCTGCTGCTAGTGTTTTCCCCTGCCCGGGTATATACATTTAAAATATGGAATTATTTTGAGTAACATATTTTTTGACAGTAGTGGGGATTAAACGAAGGACCTTGCAAGTTAGCCAAGCACTGCACTTATACCCCATTTTATTTTATTTTATTTTATTTCTCATTGAGTTTATCGGTACATTTTAGGTATACAGTACAGTTACATTCATCTTTGGGATCTTGTACCTTTACATGATAGGTCTTGGTTCTACCCCTTTTTAAAATTTATTTTTGGGGGGCTAGGGATGTAGCTCACCAGTCTGCACCTGCCTGGCAAGCCCAAGGTCCTGAGTTTAATTCCAGATACAAAAAACTAAGTAAAAAAATAAATAAAATGTCTTTTTCTTTTTCTTTTCTTTCAAACTCAGGACCTTGGGCTTGCAAGGCAGGTGGTGGCACCACTGAGCTAAATCCCCGGCCCCTATTTTTCTCTTTTATATCTATTTATTATTTATGTATTTTTGAGACCAGGTCTTATTATCTATCTCAGGTTGGCCTCAAATTCTTGACCCTAAGGCGGGGGATGTAGTTCAGTGGTGCTATGCCTGCCTGTCAAACACAAGGTCCTGAGTTCAATCCCCATACCAAAAAAAAAAAAATCGTTACCCTCCTATCTCAGCCTCTGGAGTGCTGGAATTAGAGCCATGTACCATTAAGCCTGGTTCTTACTTTTACTTTTGAGGCATAGTTTTGCTACATTGATCAGACTGGCCTGGAACTCTTGATCCTCCTGCCTCAGCCTCCGGAGTACTAGGACTATAGGTATGGGCCAGACATTCTGGATCTATCTACCTCTTATTTATTTTATTTTTTTAATTTGAGAGCTTGTTTGGAGATTCCAGCAGGCGAGTGCAACTACTCAGATACCCTTTTGTCCCTCTCTATCGGGGGTGGTCATCTCTTGGACCCAGTGTGCAGCTTCGGGAGGGACGCACATGGAGCTGTGAGGGAGGAAGGGGACACCCGCCTAGCCAGCAGGATCAATGGGGTGACAGATGCTGCAGCCAGATAGCCCTCACATCCTAGCTTTTAATTTAAAAAGAGACTTCAGCCAGGCCTGGTGGTGCTCGCCTGTAATCCCAGCCACTGAGGCTGAAACTGCAGTTTTGAGAGTTCAAGGTCAGCCTGGGCCACTCAAAGAGACTTTGTCTCAAAATTAGAAAGGCCTGGGATTGTAATTCAGTGGCAGAGTGCTTGCCTAGGATGTGCAAGGCCAGGGTTGGATCCCCAATACCACAAAAAAAGGAGAAAAAATGTTCAGCTTAAGAGCTGCCTCAATCCATCCTAAGCTCAATTTGTTTTTCCTTTACCTGATGTAAGGCATTTAAGCAGTTTTCATTTCCCCTGTTATAAATATTGTTATAAACACCTTTATGGCTGTTCTCAGAAGTGCACACCCGTATTCCCACATCCTCAGGAGCCTGAGGCAGGAAAATGGCAAGCTCAAGGCCAGCTTGTACAACTTAGCCAGAACCTGTCTCAAAATACAAATTAAAGGCAAGGATATGGGGAAAAAATGAGAACCAAGACCTGTCATGTAAAGGTACAAGATCCCAATGATGAATGTAACTGTACTATATACTTAAAAAGTACCATTAAACGCAATAAGATAAAAAAAAAAACACAAAATAAAAAGCTGGGAAGGTAGCTCAGTGGTAGAGTGCTTGCTTGGTATCTGTGCACCCCCAAACTCCATCCCCAATACCACACATAGGAAAAAAAACCATGTGAATAAGACTATAAGCACAACCATTATCATTTCCTAATAAAATATTATTTTTAATTATATAGCTAATAAACTCACTATAAAAACATTATAAATTTCATAGGATGAAACATCCTCATAACCCCACTGCTCAAAGCAACAAGTGTCTATGAGTTTCCTTCCAGTTTTTTTTTTTTTCTATATGAACAGTGAGTTTTAGATAAAACAAAGGACTGTGTCGGCCGAAGTCTGAGACTCACAATTTCCTTGCTTTGTCGGTCAAATGTGGCTTTCACAAAGAGGGACCCAAGAGCAAAGCCCAGGGCGTCATCCGTGTTGGAGATACAGGTCTGCCACCGCGGCGTGCAGGACTAGAAAGAGACAAAGAGCCAGGCCCTAGAGACAGCTCTGTCTCTGTGCAGTCTGGGGCCCACTCAGCTCTGGACAGCAGCAGTCTGAGCGTGGGCGCCAGCTCTCCCTCCAACTCCAGGGAAGACCAAGGTGACGACAACCAGCAGCTCCCCACTCTACTGTCAGCACTCTCCTCCTCTGGTCATTGCGGAAATTTCTCTGTCCAGTTGGTGCTGCGTGACAGACACCTGGGTGTCACCCCATCCCCTTCCACCTCCCTACGCCCGCCTTCACTCTGTCACTCGTGTTTACCGACTCGACTTCTCCTGTCTACCTTGTCCTCACCTCCTCACCCCACAACACTGTCACCTCTCCTTTTTTTTAATGGGTGCACTCGGGCCACACTGAGTAAAGGGCCGTCATCGTACGTGTAGATGACATGCGCCTGTACACACAGGAAGCCTGTAACACACCCCTTACCCTCGCCTCCACATACCTTCCCTCTTCTCTAACCTTCCTAAGTTTTTGATACTGGGAGTCGAACTCAGGACCTTGCACTTATAAGGGGCCACTGAGCTAAATCCCCGAGCCCATCTCCCTTCTATTTTTATGTCATTTTCCCCTCCTCCTAAATTTCACACAGGAGAGAAAACATACAGTACTTGTCCTCCTGAGCCTGGCTTACTTCGCCCAGCATGATGATCTCCACTCCCACCCCTTTCCCATAAATGATATGCTTTCTCTCCCTTCTAGTTGAATAATAATCTACTGCAACACTATCATCTCCTTTTTTTTTTTTTGAACCGGTGATCTAACTCGGGTCCTTATGCTTGTGAGGCAGGCGGCTGAACCACTGAGCTAAATCCCCAGCCCCAACACTATCATCTCCTGCTGAAAATTGCAGTTGCTTCCTGACTTTTATCTGACTCCCGTTCCCGTCCCCTTTCCCTGCTGCTCCTCTCCAAAATATCATTTCCAACATGACCTGACTCTGACTGCTGTCTTGTGCTCACAACTCTGGTTCCCCCTCTGTGAAAGAATCAAAGCCAGACTTTTTTTGGGGGGGTACTGGGGATCAAACTCAGGACCACGAGCTTTGCGAGGCAGGTGGTGGAACCACTGAGCTAAATCCCCAGCAAGGCCAGATTTCTCAAAACAGCAGTCAGATCCCTTTCAGGATTCTCTATGCCCACTTTACCAAACTCAGTCTCGCTCAGCCAGGCATGGTGGCGCATGCCTGTAATCCCAGCACTCAGGAGGCTGAGGCAGGAGGATCGCTGTGAGTTCGAGACCAGCCTGGGCTACATAGTGAGTTCCAGGTTGGTCTCAACTACACAGTGAGACCCTTTCTCGCTCTTGTGCAAACCCCTACCGGAACTCACTCATGCAAACAGAGCCAGGAGTCGCTGTGAGTTCGAGACCAGCCTGGGCTACATAGTGAGTTCCAGGTTGGTCTCAACTACACAGTGAGACCCTTTCTCGCTCTTGTGCAAACCCCTACCGGAACTCACTCATGCAAACCTGCCACACCCCTTCTGGCCTCTGGACGCATGTGAATGCTCTCCCATCGGGTGGGAATACCCTTCCTTGATGCCCCTCGGAGAATTCCTTCTCCAAATGCATCTTCTTAAAGAAACCTGTCCTGATACTGTCCCACTGTTCCCCAGGTAGACAATGCTGTCCCCACCTCTGTCCTTTTTATTTTTCATTTGGGGGTGGGGATCTCACTAATTTGCTAAGATGTCCAGGCTGTCCTCAGACTTGCAGCTCTCCTGCCTCAACCTCCCTAGTAGATGGGATTGCAGGTAGGAACCTCTACACTCAGCTTGCCTTTCTTACCTTTTGTTTGTTGGTCGGTTCGAAGCAGGGTCTCACTTTGTAGTTCAGGCTGGACCTGAACTCACTATGTAATTCAGGCTGGCTGCAAACTTGTGACAATCCTCCTGCCTCAGCCTCCCGAGTGCTGGGATTACAGACGTGCACCTCTGCACCCAGCTCTTCTCCCTCACTTAATGGGCATCTTGAAATGAAAGCAGCATGCAGGCGTCCTCTTCATCCCCCCAGAAGCTAGGTGCCTACCTATATCTCACTTATGCTAACTTGGAGGATCCTCAGGCCAACCCTGCAAATTATTTCTGCTTTACAGACAAGGAAGTGGGGAAGAGAGGTTTGGTGGGATGCCCAAGGTCCCACAGGCTAAAAACCAGAGGTGGTGAGACTGGAACCCAGGACAGCTTGGTTGCAAATCCTGTGCCGTGCAGCTTGCACGTGGGCACCTTGAAGCAAATGGTGCCTGACACCCTGGAGGTGGCAGCATCAGCTAGGGTGGGTCAGAAGGTGGGGCGGAGCTGGGGAGCCCACCTTCTTGGTGCCGTAGAGGGTCTCCAGCAGCTTCTCCTGCGCGGACTCAAAGCGCCGGTCCAGGCTCGCAGCTGTCTTCTGCACCAGGTTCCAGATCAGGTAATTGTTCAGGACACTGACATCCACACAGGGAAATAAGGAAAGGGCAGGTGGGGAGCCTTCTCCCTCTCCCCAACGACTGTCCCTAGGAACACGCATGCGGGTGGCGGGAGTCCCGGGAGGCTCACGTGGAAGCCGGCCTGGAGCCCCCTCACCCTGGGCCCAGCCACCTGCCTGCAGAAATCAGCTTCAAGCAAGGAGCAGAACTGGAGATCACAAAGGGCGTCCTGAAATTCTAGCCCAGGCAACCTCATTTGATGCTCGGAAGACCCAAACCTTCTGTCTGGCTGTGCCAGTCCACTGTGCCCAGGCCCTGCCAGAGACCTCCCCTGAGCTCAGAGTCCTCCTTCCCAGGCATCTGGGGGTTCCCCTCACCTTGGTTCTGTGCTGTTGATGAGGTCTGATACCTGCTGCAAATAATCCATGCCATACACCACCACCGGCTCAGAGTCACTCAACTCCAAGGGCGACAGCAAGAAAGACAGGAACTCCAGCCAGTTCACCGCTGGTGCCAGAGCCTGAGAGCAAACAAACTCTCAGGCATCCTCGCCTGCCAGCTTGGCTTCCCGCACTCCCCTCCCCCGTTGATATGCTGTAGCCCGGGAGTCCTTCGGTGCCATGGCAACAGCTACTGGCTCCTTGGGGACTCCTTCCTGCAATAAACCCTTTCCAGGCCCTCAATCTTGGAGCCCAACCACTTACTATGATGAGGAAAATCACCAATTGTGATACTCAGCTGCAGCAAAGATACCCAAATATTTTCTTTTTCTTTTTTCTTTTTTTTTTTTTTTTTTTTTTTTTTTTTT